GATACTAAAATGTTGTATCCGGATACGATGCTCATTTTCAAAAGTACCGATACCACGTTGTTTGTGATCATTAACGTGACGTTAGCCTTGAACTGCTAGCTGCGGCTAATGGCTAATAGTAACACGCCAACAGTAATCAAGTACATATCCAACTCCGCCCACATCCAATTGGCCATTTTGATTGGGTCACCAATAGGAAGATCCCAGGCAAGAAAATCCTAATTGCTTCATGGCAATATAGATATTCATTTAAAAATAGTTAAATGAATCTTGCAAACACTGAATTAAACTCTATCCATAATATTATGTTAAAATAGTGGATGTTAAATAGGTTTGTACAATAAGTCCAAACAAGTTTAACCAAAAAAAAGTTATTTCTCACAATTATGAAGGGTGGAGGGTTAGGGTTAAGGTCAGGGTCAGGATTAGGGTCATTAATGTGGGCCACCAGTCACAATAACATCAGTAACAGGTCAGTTTGAAATGAAAGACACTAACCTGTCAAAATTCTGTTAAATTTTGGGGTCTTTGTTTTTATCGTTGTGGTATCGAAAATGGTATCGAGTATTTTCCCTAGTATTGTTATCAAGTTGAAAATTTTAGTATTGTGACAACCCAACCTGTTGCCCCCCCGTTTGATTAAAGCGATGCTCAACAAGTACAAACCAGCCAATTTCTAAATATGTATCTGATCATTCAACTACCGATCAATTGAGCTAGTTTTAACAACAAATAGTTTATGATCGTGTGTCGGCCGTAATGGGAACCATCTTATGTCCTTCTGAACAGAGGCGGTTGGTCAAGAAATGAATTTAGCACAGATCTACTTTGGGAATTGCATTTTTTCAGCTGATGACTGAAGACAAATTCCTCCAATCAGCTCCCAAGCATTGATCAAAAATGTTATAAAATGACTTAATGATAAAGGTGGGCTTTCTCCCTGATTGTTGGGTTTCTCCTTGGAAAAAAAAAACAGAACGTTACATGTTTTTCAAAATGGCAGCGTCCACTCAGGACCATTTGAGTTTAGTTTGGTAACAATCTTTAGGTACTACAGACTTTTGATACAGCCCAAATCAAACCTTCCCTCCAGCCTCTCATCTTCACTTTTAAACCCCCGTGGCTCCGGCCCCCCCAGTTCAACCATCACAAACAGTATACAGTTTATACCCAGCCACAACAAAAAATAAACAAACTAGTTTAACCAATCTCCCCCCTCTCTCCTCAGGCCACTTGGAAAGTGCCGTCTGGCCAATTGGCCACCCCAGGTCCTTATCGCCCCTTTAATGGGGGGCCAAGTGACCCCAGAAGGAGAAATTAAAAGCAAACTCCAAGCATCCCAAAAATAAATTCAATATATATAACACATGAACAAAAAGATCTAAACACGACTTCCATGTATGTGTGTGTGAGGGTGTGTCTTCAACCCCCCCCCCCCGATATCACGCACTATAACTGGCCGTGTTCTATTAAACTCATCTATGAATGCATAGGGAGGGGATAAACCCCTTTACTGTCCTGATGAGGGGTAGCAGTAGTTTTTTTTTTTTTTTAGGGGTAGTAGTAGTTCCCTCACCCACATGCAGAATCATCCACAGGAAACAGATGTCAGACATCATGAGGTACATTTACAGAACAGACTTCAAATATTTGGGCCGGCATCGGTCTGTTCTGTTGAATGTTCTAGGAAGAAAGGAGATCATTAGTTTGGATTCACAGACGGGCACCAGACAAGGTGGTGGAGAATTCAGATAAGATTTGGAGAGATATGAATCTGTTTTTTGGCCCAAAAAAATGAAAAATGTCCCTACTTGGCACTAATTAAAAACCTGAATATTTCATCCCTGGCCTTAAAAGTGGTTTGGACAGAATGACAGGGGCTTTCTCTCGAGAGAACAGAAAGATGTTTCTGCAAACTTACAAATTAGACAAAAATTCCATTTTAAATTTTGGCTCACTTTAAGTTAAAAAAGGGATAATTTCGGACACTGTCTCAGTCATATGCAAGAATATAATAAACATAATGTTGAAAACAGATCATCATTGTTTTTAGCTGGTTTTAATAAGCGCGTGTCTGAGACCTGTAAAGATTCAGGACAGTTTCCTCTGTGTTTGTCACCTGCATGGGGCCCGGGCTCCTTAGGCCTGTAAATAAAATCATGGACAAAAACCAATCAATATTGGTAAATAAACTTGTTCATGTTCATGTTCATACATTTGGCAGACGCTTTTATCCAAAGCGACTTACAGGGTAGGGAGGAGCTGTTTTGGCCGGGAATCGAACCCAGGTCAACTGCTTGGAAGGCAGCTATGCTAACCACTACACCACCACTCCTTCTGTTTACTTCTGTTTACTGCTCGTAAATGTGTATTTTCAGGCACATAAGCTTAAAGAAAAGCTTAATGAAAAGCATCAGTATAAAGACTCTTTTAAGATATTCCCTTTAGGGATGCTTAGTGCTAAATGGAGAGAAAATTAAGCTGCTTTTATGAACATGTGGCAGCCTCTGGTTGCTAGAGGCCGCGACATGTTCTAGATATTCAGAAAAGAGGGGACTGGTTGGTATGGTGAGGATCCAGAATTGCTCAGAGGTACTAAAAGGGAATGTAGGTTAGTTTTATCGTCATTGTTGTATACTTGTTTGTTTGATGTTTTGGCTTTTTATGATTCTGTTCTGTTAGGTTTTGTAACCAACAATTCAATAAAGTGTGAATAACAATAAAAAGAACAGTCATTTGGAGCTATTTCCAGGCTAAACAGCACTTGAGTGGCAGAAAGGCAACTGGGTCAGAGATTATGGGAGGTTTAAACAACCAAATAGAGAAAAACACTTGTATCTGGTATCTTAGACTTCTGAATTAATGCAAATTATTCTAACCCTGCGAACTATAAAGGTCAACTACTACAAATCATCTATTATTAGCACTCCAGTGTTTCATTTGATGGACTGACATGCTTACGGTGCTCCTTTAGGTCTCCATGGAGACCGGGGGTCTGGGGCTAGCTGCCAGGAGCCCCTCAGATGAAGGAGGATGGGGAAAAGCATTCAGGAGTCTGCAATCAACTCAATTACAGCAGCTGTATTTGGAAGAAGTCAAAACGTTTTAGAGTGAAGTAAAGAGATGTACTGTACCTTTTCACGTGGAAACACATCACCATCTAGTGGACAGAACCAGGAAGGACTCTGCAAATGGCCCGTCTCAAAATTCTCAGGGGCCTCTATCCACATCTTGCGAATTGGACCCTCTCTGACCCCAGCCCCTTCTAAATAGAAAATAAATCTACAGCGTCAACAAAAGGCGCAGGCAACGTTAAGATTTTTTCATCTTTTATTTTTACAAATAACTTATCTGTTACAAAGACAGCTTCCCAGCTAAAAATCAAAAAAATACTTAAGATATCCAAATTACTTTTTCTCCCCTCAAATTAATAAAATATGCATAAACCGCCTCTTTACATCAAAGTGAAGATTAAGGTGAAAACTGGTTTCTTTGGTTGATAAAAGGAACAAGTATGACGTAAGTGCTTAAGACACCATTATTCATCTTATAGTTCAAAGTGGGTTGACACATTGTGAGGAAATTATTTTTTTTAATGGCACTTGGGTGTTAGATTGGATTGTCGGAAATTGCGGGCACTTATGGAAGGCAACAGTTCACGCTCACGGAGAAGAACAGAATGAACTATTCCACAGTTTTAGAAAAGCCCCCTCGCTAATAAACTCTTTACAGGACGACCTGAGCCAAATAAAAGAAGAATACAAAAAGCTGACGGTCGCGTCTTCTGTGTGTTTTTGTCTTGGTCTGTTTCCGTGGGCTGGAGTGCAGGGCACGGCTGGAGAGCCTCATTTACCCACAAGTCTGTTCACTTTGATCTCTACGTCGGCATGGAAACGTCCCCACCGGCCGCTCCCCACGCACGCCGACATCCATCCCCGTTCTTCATTGAGGTGTAACACGTGAAATCGTACATTCCAGTTGTCAGACGGGATGTTTTGGGTTCGCCCCCCCCCCACCCCGACCACCCCAGAACTGAAACGGTGTCTCGGGGAAAAGAAAAACCAACATACCTTCTCCGCCGCGTTCCCCACTTTAGCATCTACAAGTCGTACACGGGAAACTCAGCGTTTACAAAAGCCATGAAGGGGCCGGAGGGGGGGGGGGGGGGGGGGCGCTCCTTTTTGTAGGCTCCGCCTCTCACAGATATCAAGTACAGAGCTTAAACGGGAGCAGGGGGCTTATCGTTGGAAGGAGGAGACAAGTCAAGGAAAACAATAGAAAGTTAATAAAGTCTATAAAGCTATACTTACAGGACATACAGGTGGTTCATAGTGTGAAGAAGAGGTTTTTTTTTTAAGCACATTCTAAAAGTTATGTACAGTAAAGAGCCCCCTGTGTACTGTACACCAAGCATGCAACTTTTTTTTCCCATTTTGCTTTTCTTTTTTTTTCTTTTTTTTTCTAAATCACAACTGAGTTGGGGGGGGGGGGCGTTCGTTTGTTTGCCCCAAAGTGTCCTCCAGCAACAGGAACCAGTCTGCTGCCCCTAGACCCCCCCCCCCCCCCGGCCCCCACCATCAGAGAGGCATCACTCCCAAATCCAGGCAGGAGGGGGCACACACACCCTCCTGTGTGTGTGTGTGAGTGTGTGTGAGAGTGTGTGAGGGCCATCACCCTGCATGGCCACGCCCCTAATACTGTAATGGGGGGGGGTCTCCCCTGAGCAGAAAACAGGGGAGGGGGAGCCCACATGATCCGAGTCTGTGAGGGGGAGGAGGTATGGTTCCCTGTCCAGGAACCGGAAGGATCTGTAAACACCGTCCAGTCCAGCCTTCAGTGGACAGCGCGCTGCTGACCTTTGAGCAGAGGAAAGAAAAAAACGTGGTCCAGACCCTCGGGCCGGGCGGAGTCTCAGAAATCTGAAGGCAGGGAGAGAGTCAGAACCGGGGGAGTCGGGGCGGGGGGGGGGGGGGGGGGGGGGGGGGGGGGGGGGGGGCTCAGAAGTGGCGGGGGAATTCACACTGTTCACAGCGGTTGAGGGCGGGGTGGTTGAGGAAGGTGCAGGCGGTGCAGCTCCACTGGGTTCCCTCGTCCTCCTCCTGGTCCACCGCCGGCTTCACAGTCTTACTGCCCGAGTCTGCGGGGGGGGGGGGGCAGATGTCAGATACCTGTACACGTCTCCAGGCAAAACCAGGAAGTGAGCACACTAAGGTCCGGATAAGTGTACCGCAAAAGGTGTTTTCCGGCTTAATTTAGGCCCCACGCCAACGTTCTGGCTGTAGGGACGGGCCGGTTCCAATATTTGTAAATATGAGACTATCTTTTCATATAACACTTGTACAGAAAATAATAATAATAATAATAATAATGTCTTGCTGTTTTTCTGTTTGTTGGATATCAAAAAGAGAGCAGTGACCAGTCGGACACTGAGGTCATCCAGCCCTCACAAAGCAAAGCTGTAGCTTTCCTATCTGGAAAATTTCCTATCTGGGCTTGTTAAAATATTATACAAAAAATATGTATATGGGAATACATTTGGTTTTCTGTACTTTAGTTTTTAAATTTGTTTTAATGAGAAAGCTATCTAAACTTATTTCTCAATCTATGGGCATGAAAAAAAAATCTCTTTTTAACCTGTTTAACATTATGTGTCACATAACGTATTCCTCCTTAAAGACTAAATGCAAACATGAACCATTTCCATCTAATTGGACAAAATACACACATAGCATGACTTTAGCACACAAACATCTCTGAATGCATTAAACTCAAAACATCCTGTAATAAAAGAGTAATGAGAGACGGGACCATGCAGACGTTGTTTTTACTTACCAATAGATAAAGTACCTTTGGGTTTGGGTGGGATGGGACCAAGGAATCCAATGTTGTCATAAAAGTTGTGGATTACGCTGGGGTTTAAGTGTGGTCCTGTACACAGAGGAAGACACAAGGAAATCATGGGTTTACGGACATCTTCATGAGGTCTGGTGAAAAGTCTGGACCTGAGGTGCACTCTACTCTGGGGTCATTTTGGGGCAGATCTCATCTTCCTCAGCCTCTCTGGCATTTTGTGACTGGATGAAATCGCGTGGGGACTTTAAATTGGCAGCTAACTGCTGCGTTATGCTCGGCTGCATTTGGACAACGGAAAGCTATAGGCTGAAAGTTCATTCTTTAGCTACAAACTCATCCTGATGAGAGTGCTGGTGGGACAGAATACCTGCAGCATCTCCTGCTCTGTGACCTTTAACCTCTGGTGGGCAGCTGAAGCAGGTGGGTGGGGATGGAGGGCAGGAATTGGTTCCCAGAACGTCTGAAAGGTTCCCTGGATGCTGCATTTTTACAGCCAGGAGGCCCCAAACTGAGGACCTGGGCATCTTCCACTTTTGGAGTTTATTTTCCAGAATAAATCTTCAAAGAGGCATACATCTATATATATATTTTAATCACCCAAATCTCTACGCTGTGTTGCTTCCTTGTATATTTGCTTGCTTTTGCTGTACTTTATGCACCTTTTCCTCCTTTTGAACTCTAACCAATGTGTGACCAGTGAATTTCTCCACTGTGAGATCAATAAAGCTCTTATCTTATCTTATTCATCACAAGTAGCTGGATTTTGGGTGAAAATAGTTCCTTCAGCTCTTCTCCTCAAAGGCTATTACCATGACCTGCAGGCTATTTCTGAGGTACAACCCTCATGAAACCCACCCACCATCTCAACTTTCCCTGACCTGTAGGACAGGGTGAGCCTCGGAGCCAATCAGAAAGAAGAAGTGGTCAAAACAATGGGCACAGCGAACTATGGCTGCTGGACAGGATGTGGGCAGGGTGGAATTACGTTTTAGAGTGAACAACACAAGCTAAAATACTCGTATCAGAGACACACACATGACACAAACAGATTACCGTTGGTCTGAAGGAGATCGATTTCTTTGCTGAGGCAGTCGATGTTGATCTGCAGTGACCTGTTCTTGCATCGTAACTGCTTCATTTCCTCAATCTGGAACAGAGTGGGACAGAGAGGACCTCATGGTTTAACTTTGTTGTTTTAGTGCACGCACACCACAACATCCTGCTCCTGTCACAGCTCCACAAGCCAAGGCCAATCTCAGAGAAAAAGAGTGAATCATCTCAGCAGCACGATGCAGATTAACCTGCCACACACACCCCTGTCTCATCCAGGAAACTGTTAGCAGAGAGAACGGCTCAGTTTAAGTTTTAAAGCAGAGAAAACGTCTCAATTTAAGTTTGAAAGCAGAGAAAACATCTCTGTGTAAGTTTTAAAGCAGAGAAAACGT